ACAAAATAAAAAAACAACGTTCTAAAATAAAACAGAAAAAAAAAACAGAAACAATATAATGTAAAGAAAAAAAAACCCTAAACCAACACATAAAACAGAATGCAAGTGCCAAAACGTTACATACCCACACAGTTTCACAAGGTGCATCAATTTGATGGTGCAATCGACAGGCCAGGGGAGGGATTTGGTTCGGTTCTGGAAGAGGAGAGAATTTGGGGGTTTGGAGCCTCCCTTAATCGACTAGGGTTTGAAATAACCCCCTTGCGAAATGGGGTTTTTAAAAAAAAAAAAGCTTTATGTCACAATTTAATCGACTACATAACTATTGTAGTCGATTAAACCTCCCTGAAATTTAATCGACTAAGAGGGATTTTTAGTCGGTTAAATTTGGGTCATCATTTTTTCTGTATTTTGACCATTTAGTCGATTAAAAAATCATCTTAATCGACTAAATGGAGGCATAATGGTGGATAGTTGTGGGGGATGACCAAATTGGTTATTAATTAATTAATAAGGGACAAAAGGTCAAAAAGCCCTTGCTTAGTAGCCTTTTGGCTTCTTCTTTTTTTCAATTTCTCTTCTTGCTTAAAAGTGAGGTTAAGGGTTTGTTTTCTCTGTAGTTACTGCAGTTAAGTTATCTGTAATAAGCCCAATACAACGTCGTTTTGGGCAGAAATCATAATATTTTTGTAATTTTAATTTATTTCAGGGTTATTATAGTCTTTATAATTATAATTTTTTAATGTTTTAATCGAAAAACGACGTCGTTTTGGAAGTAAATGCAGATAATTTATCTGCAATAATTGCAGAAATATTTTTCTGTTAAATTAAATATATTTTTGCTAAAACTGTTATAAAAATAGCTTTTTTTTAACAAAGAAAAAAAAAGCCATAAGTTCCGAACAGAAGTTTTAGCTTAATTTTTATTTTACATTTCTCATATTCTCTCCTCCTTCTCCACCAAGGACATAGAAAAAGAAATCGGATGCCAGGGCTGTGTTTTTTTTTAAAGCGCCAGGGCTCTTTCTTTGATGACCGATGATCTTTTAGAGACGGAGGGGTTAAGAATTTTAATAAGTTTGAGCATATTCATAATGGACTTTATTAATCTCATGCAATAAAAGATAATTTTTTTATGTAATAAAGATTATCATTTTTGAGATTCATCAACTATAAAACAGAATAAAAAATAATACAAAAATCGATGTATGTGTAACAAAGAAAATTATCTCCTACAAGAGTATATTTTTCCATTCATCGTATTCGTTATTGGATATTGTGCTGGATTGTACTGTAAAGGTCACAAGAGATTGACACCAATTTATTGAAAACTGTATAATATTTATTTATATAATTAACTATTTGATAAATAAAAATTATTATGAATATATTATTTTAAATATATATTAATATATAAATGTATCCACATAAATGTATTTATTTTATATTTAAATATATATGTATATATATTGATAAATATGTATTTGTTCTTTTTTAAAGAATATTTTATTTTATTTTTGAGAGATACATTTTTAACTTGTTTATGAATTTGGTGTTTGTCATTTTAAATGACATAAGTTATGTCATTTTAAGAGAGAGATAGATACAGAAAAATGAAAATCATGGAAGAGAGAAAGTGAGTGGTTTTTTTAATTTAAAATTCAAATTTTCTGTGTCTGTATCTCTATTAAATTGACATAACTTTCTTTCATTTAAAATGACAAACACTTTTCCCTTTGTTTATTATATAAATTTTTTAAATACATTCGTTACTAATCTTTTTAATTTTTTTTTGTAAAAGTAGAAACAAATAACCTTAAATGTGTTTAAATTAACTTTTTAAAAACTATAATGAAAATATTACAAAATCGTCCCAACACAATCATGGTTAAATGAAAATATACTTAATATTTTTGACCTGTATTGATAGCGTTGACAAAAAAAGCCGCCACTGTATCTGTATGCATGGTTGCTCCTACCGTAAAAAAGGCTTAACAATTGCGATAATGTGACAATGTTAATGGCATAAACACCGCCAGATGCAGCACTGACAAAGATGGTTCTTCCAAACTAAATGTTATGAAAATGGATGCTGTAATGTGTAATTTAATATGATCATGTTATAGGAGGATTTTAATCATTAATAATTAAATCAACGGTAATGATTGTATAACTTTTTATTTTTATATTTTTTTTTCTCTCCTTCTTTATCACCGTTAACTCACCCATGTATGATATAGTCATGTTAATTAGCATATGAGAAAATCCACTCTCAAATATTATACGATTCAACGAAAAAGAACATTTCAACCCAGTCTCCCAGTTGAGAGGGAAACAATTAGGGCTGAGGCAGAAAAAATATATAGAGGGTTGATTTCGTAGCCAAACGATTCGTTCACACAAAGACAATATCACTTCTCTCTCAATTTCATTCAAAGATCACCCAAGCCATAGGAGAATAGGGGATTCGAGAGTATGCTGTCAAGTCTCAACAACTTGTCGTAAATTGTGTCTTGCGACGTGCAAACTAGAGAAAGTGATGCAAATGCAATGTTTGTTGCTACTGTTACAAATTTTTATAATAATTGTGGTTTCACTCAATTATAATTTTTATTGTTTTAATAAGAATGGGTTAAGTCATGATTTATATATACAGTATAAAAGTTCAGTTAATTAGTTATCATTTTAATTTGGGCTTGTATAATAATGTAATAGTGTAGACCTAACACATAGACCCATGATGAAAGATGATTAGGGTTAATAAATTTGGTTAGGTCCCCTCTACATGTGTGTTGGAAAACCATCACTTCATAACACGCTCCACTTGTGATCAGTGGTTGAATTGCAGAGGAAGATCCTTATCTTTTCATTGTACAAGTATTAGAGGAAACAAAAAAACTTCAAGAAATCAAAAATAATCATGTCTTTGACATATAAACCTAAATCTTTTGGTGTTCTAATTTCATATAATCTCATATTAAAATTTCTTAAAGCTACAACATGCTAGCTTTATTCTATTTATAATTCCGACTTAGACCTATGATCTTCTGTGTAAGTCTTGCGATAGTGTGTTTTGCTTATTATGTGTCTTTTTGTCTTTTGGTGAATTCTAATTTTGGATTAAATATGGTTTTTGTTGGCTGAGTTTTGGCTTGATTTTTTAGCTTTATGATACTGAATTCAAATTACGGCATTCTAGCTAGAAGATGCCCTTCACCAGCTTTTTCTTCATTTCTTCTCGGAATTTTTTTCTAAAAAACAAAATAAAAATTACGAACGAAAAGGGCTCAATCTTTATATTGGAGTTAGTTTCGGGTGTGTTGCTATTAAATTCTTTCACAAAATCATTCTATTCCAAGCCAGGTTAAGATGAATTCCTTTAAATAACATTTCTCTGCCCCCTACCCATAATTAGAACTTAAATCACATGTGACTTGTGAACATTTCTAGTGTGTCCCCATCAAGTGTAGAACCAATTCCTATTTGCCAGGTGCTTCATGCGGAATTTCAAGCCATATATGCAGTACAAGTAAAATTAGGGCATGTTTGGTGCATAGTATAGGATAAGGCCTGATAGTATAAGACTTGATTGTATAAGACCTGATTAAATTTTAATTGTATAAGATAATATCATCTAGTATTTGGTAATGCACTGTATAATACTATATATGATAAAAATAAATATTTTTAATAAAAATATCTTTTAATAAAGAATTTATATAATTCTTCAAAAAAATATCATATGATATTAATTTTTATAAAAAAAATTTGATCAGTGTATCCAAAATATGATTAATTATTATAAAAATAAAAATATTCAATATTTTAAAAAATTAATATATTGAAAAATTAATTTTTATTTTAATAGATTAATATTAAAATAATATAGTAATTTTTGAGAATTACATTGGTCAACGATGTTAATACATCAATCTCTTATCAGGCCTTATCCCTCACCCTTAGGCCGGATTAAGTTATACATCGTTTTGATGTATCAAGGATTTATGTTGTATAAGCTTATACTATACGATGGTCACACCAAACAACTGAAAATATCATAACGTATAGTATAAGCTTATACTGTCATGCCTTATACGTCACAGTGCCTTAAAGTGTATTCATATAATAATTCAGCAGTAAATTGAGCTACACCTCATTCCAATCTTATATATCCGACATAGATGTAATATACCTTACTAGTTATAGATAATTACTAGCTAGCTAGTCAATATTATAGAATCAGAGATTGAACGTAGTATTAATCAATATTTGATGTCAAAGCACAATATTATCCCTTTGGAATCAGAGATTGAACGTAGTATTAATCAATGATATTCTTATTTGCGGAATCATAATCATATAAAGATAGATTAATGATATGGATCAATGATAATAAAGGAAGAGAAAAAAAATATTATAATAAATAATTACAAAATCATGACGGTTGATTTACCTTTCTACAATTATAATATTTTCACATGACCGTATCATGTTTTTTTTTCAGAGAGTATATATTTTCTTATAATACCTTGTACAACCTTAGGTGGACGTAGTTTCATTACTTAGTTTAGTTATCTAGGAATCAGTAATTTTTTTTATAAACGCCTACGAATTAACTTATCCCCAAGTAAACACCAGTCTCGAAAAAAAAAACCTGAGTGACTAACAAGGTCAAAAGAAGAAAATCAATAAAGCCGAGTAATGATTCCAAATTCCCAAGCCAATGTGCACCTGTGGTTATAATTAGTCTGTTTCTTTATTCACTGCACGGCAATGTCTTCATTTCTCTCTCCTATATATACATACATACATACATAATTTCCATAATATCAACACCACCGCCCTATTCCACCATTGACAGAGATGACATTGAAACCACTTTTACCAGAGCCCCATCTTTTGGACTAATCAACAATAACCCCGAACGAGGTAACCAAAGGTCTCTATCTTTCTCTTCAGTCTTGAACCCCTTTTAAAAGCTCGATTGTAGGGCCCAACCAATGGACGATGAACACTCATCCCCACCTTCTCACGAGCCTCCTCAACCACCCATCACCACCACCGTTTCAACAACCACTCCCTGCGAAACATCTAACAGTGCAAACAGCAGCAGTAGCAGCAGCACCACCACCGCCAACAACGCCAATAGACGCAAATGCAAAGGCAAAGGTGGCCCTGACAACAACAAATTTAGATACCGCGGTGTGAGACAGCGAAGTTGGGGAAAATGGGTCGCAGAGATCAGAGAGCCACGAAAGCGAACCCGCAAGTGGCTTGGCACCTTCTCCACCGCCGAAGACGCCGCCAGAGCATACGACCGTGCCGCTATTATTCTCCACGGCTCTAGGGCTCAGCTTAACCTTCAACCTTCTGGATCTTCTTCTCAATCTTCCTCCTCTCGTAGCTCTTCATCTTCCTCTTCCACTCAAACCCTTCGACCTTTGCTTCCTCGTCCTTCGGGCTTCGGTTTCACCTTCTCTTCCACCGGTTCCCATCTTCCGATGGTATTCAACGCCGCCGCCTCCACATCCGGGTTCGTGCCTTTTGGGGTTTACCCTTGCGGCGGCGCTAATAACAATAACTTCAACCCACAGGTTCTGTGCCCTATTGATAATAATAATGAAGTGCAGCTTCATCAACATCACTATCATCGTCATCATCCTCAGGAAGTGGTGCAACTACAACAACATCAACAACCCGAATCTGATGTGAGTGTAGCGGGTGGGGTTTTTGCTAATACAAGTTCTATCAGATCAATCCCGTACCAAAACAATAGCCATCAGGATCATCATGCACAACATAATCCTCTGTTGAATCAACAGCAGGATCAGAATTGCATGGTGGAGGGAATGAATTCTTTGGTAGGGTCGGTGGGGTCAAGCTTGTCTTCTCATCATCAGATTAATATAGATGCACCGGTGGATCCGAATCCCTCGTTAGGGGTGGTGGGGACAATGGGTCTTGCATCTCCGTCTATGTGGTCATTGACAATTGAGGAAGATTATCCTGCAGCTAGTCCATGGGATTATAATGATCCTTTCTTTTTTGATTTTTAAGGAAATTTAATTAAGTTGCATTTAGTTGATTAAATATATATGTTCTTCGATGTTATCTTACAGACTGCTCTGGGTAGATTGATCTAAATTTAGTATACTGAAGGAAGATCAATAGTAATTAAGGTGAATAGACTGTTGGGTAGACGCTGAAAGTTTTTTTTATTTGTTCGTGCTAATTATTGCGGAAAACGAGGGTTCATGCGCGGTAGAATTGATATGAAGAAACCCTGGGGATTAATGAGTTGCTGGTGCTTCTTTGGCAAGTAATCAACGAGCTAACTTCCCATTTGTCTCGCCCAATCATGTGGTAAGCTTTTTCTGTTATGTAGAACAGATAGCTCATTGTATGATAGATCGATTGATTAGTACGTGATATTTTAATTTATATGTATACATTGTTGTCTTGGATCAAATCCTTCTAGGAATTGCGGGTTTCCGGGAATTTTGAACTGTGACAAGCAGAAGTTGAGAAATTGAAAGATAATAAATAAATAAATGGTATTCTCACTGAAATAAGAAAGTTGAATATGTTTCTGCTCAAATTTTATTGAATGTTTCTAAGAGATTTGCTTATGATGTTTTTGTTGGTTTAGAATTATGAAAAGACTATATGTCATATTATTGCGTAATATCATAATGGAAATTACATTTAGTTTTATTTTGTGAGTTATCGTATTAAGGGGGCGTTTGGTATAGTAGAACTTTTTTATTTTATCCGAAAATCACGATTTTCAGAAATATAGTGGAAAATTAATTTTCCTTTAATGATATTAAAAAGCTGTTTAGTAGGCCCCAATTTTCCCAGAATTATTTGATTAAGTTTACTGAGTTTGTGTTTGATTGATTGTGAAATATTAGAGAAAATGTTGGGTTATTTATGTAAAATAACCCCACTTTCACTTTTTGATTCAAAAATGATAAATGAACATTGTACAACCCAAATGAAAAAAGGGATCTGGCTATTTCGTGAGCCGCATTCATTGAAAAAAAAAAATCTACATGGTTAGAATTCATAGCACTGTCTCAATCAAAACGTCGTTGTAAAGAGCTGAGATCGAAGACTTCTTCTCACCTCATATCCCTATTTCAACACTCTCTCATTCTCATTCCCGATTCGCCCCCCGGCGCCACTCCTTTCCGACAGATCATCATGAAGAAAATCATTCTTAATATCAAGTTGATAAAGTGACCAGTGGCGGATAGCAGCCATGGCAATAAAGAGATGAACATAAGTCATCTTCACCACAGGGGAAAAAATGTCACCTTAATCCAATCCAAACACTTAAATGAAACTAATTTCCACCAAGCGAGCTTTAAGGCGATCCATTTGACCATCGGGACCAACCTTAACAGCATAAATTCAGCGACGGCCAATAATAGATTTTTCAGACGGAAGATGGCCAATAATAAATTCAGCATAAATCACAGGTGCCATTGTGATGAAGAGTACTCATTTCATCAATATAACCAGTCTCATCCGAAATGTGATCCATCCGAAATGTGAGAGTGTTTGAACTGTAGTCTTACGAATTCACACAAAAGGAAAAAAGAAAAGACATGCATAATATGATGGAGAAAGACGATGGTAACTAATATTAACTGTGTACCTGGTCGAAGGGAGGGTTTCACATGTACCTTTACAAAGAGCAATGGGAAGGTTATTAGTTGAAGGTGGGACCGAAGCCGAGGGAGGAGATGCAATCGGATGTGATCCCGTAGAAATATCTGGAGAAACATGTTGTATCTCATCAGGAGAAGAGGTGACTGAAGTAGAGTCAGATACAAGGACCAGGAAAGGTGAAACGTATTCAAAGGAGTCGGCATGGAGAGATGACTAAACAGAATCAGACTCCATAGTAGGGAACAATGACCGTTTTGCCACGCTTCACCCAAAAATTTACCAGACTGCCAGCCAACAGTAAAATTTCTCATAATGCCACGTGGCATAATTCGCTACCCTATGTAGCGAATTATGCTTGCTGATGTGGCAAGTCGCAATTGGTGGGAATAATTCGCTACACATGGTAGCGAATTACGTGGTCAAGATTCAGCCTGCACAGTCAGCAACATGACACGTGTCAAGCGGACAGTGTAGTTAAGTTATTGTTACATAGCATTGTCTCAATCAAAGCACAAGAAATTATTATTCTCTTCTCCGCAAAAGGAATCGATCAAATTCCACAAAATACTCAAATAGCAAAATTGACTAAAGTGTCACTATTTGTTAAAAAATTTATTCCAATACCACGCGAATAGTACTTTTTACCAAACTGTCATATTAAGTGACAAGCTATTTTAAGTGAAAGTATAAAATATGATAAGAGTTAATCTCAAAACCATGAAAAAATAACCCAGAAAAATAATCCAAAAAATGTTACTTTTAAGGTGAACTGGTGAAGACCTAGGAAGGTTTAGAGAACTTTCTTCCATGGGACTGAAGCTGCAAAAGACACAGATCCACAAGGAGTCGGTGCATCGTTGACCTCCGCTGCCTTTCTTCTCCAAGATCTGTCTCTTGTTTTGATTGTTTTTTTTTAAATGGAAGGAGCAAGTGCACGGTGGAGTTAAACAAAGGAAGACAAGGAGACAACCACCTAAGTGCAATATGGTGTTAAAGTACACTCAATGATGTTGTTTTTTTGTCCAGGGTGGAATGTTGGATTATGACTCAGCTACTCAACAGTCCACATGAGAAACATTAGTAGCGACGTTAGAGCCCCACTAACGGAAGGATTAACGTGTGCCTAATTTGAAAAAATCAGGGACCATAAATGGCCTTTTTTATTGCTAGGGAATAAATAGGGCATCGTAAAATTTGCGAGGACCAAAAAGGGTATTTACTCTATTATTTAATTGATTTTGTTAGAGATATCATATATGGCTAAATGATTTCTCTAGTCAATGGAGATAAATTATCTCCGGTGAGCCTAAAATAACATCCATTTGATATTTTTGTAATTATAATATATTGCAGGATTATATTAGTCTTTATCATTATATTAGTCCTTATCTCCAGTAACTGAAGAAATATTTTCCCCATCATATATATATATATATATATATATATATAGAGAGAGAGAGAGAGAGAGAGAGGATCCTTTGACACCGGTGTCAAATTTGAAGTTTGACACCTCATCTGAGAGCCGTTAGATCCAAAAAGATCAATGGTGTCACATGCTTACAAATCAGAGTCATTGATTTTTTTTTATCTAACGGCCCTCAGATGAGATGTCAAATTTCAAATTTGACACCGGTGTCAAAAGGATCCTGCCTCATATATATATATATATATATATATATATATATATATATATATATATAATTGTTAAAAATGCCTTCACTTAATCGCTTAAACTTTTGTGTGTAATTATTTTTTATATGGCATAAGAGCCTTTATGATCATATGTTTGATCTTCACTATCCTCGTCCTATTAAAAATAATAATTAAATATAATGGAGTGTCTTAACATAAGGAGACAGGGTATGATGCATTATTTACCCCCAATGGAACCTCATATGATGGAGCGTGTTAGAGAATATAACCCTATCTAGCAATTTAAACTTTTAGAAGAGATGGTTGCTCATCATGATACTAAAGTGAAATTATTCAACATCTATAAGATTAAACACACATGTAGAGAAAAGAGGGGGGAGGGGAATATTTTTTAGACTCCCAATCACATAAAGACTGGGTGCTCCCTCTTACAACATATATTTTTTCTTTCCCTTTTTATCCCTGCTATTTTTCTGTCTTCTCCTTTTTGCCCTCCCTATTTTCGCAAGAGGACCACCCAATCAATGATGGTCTCGGAGCATAATAAATTATCTCACGGCGAAGGGGTGGTGATATAGTAATTTCATAAATAATTATATATATTATGTGTATATATATAGTTTAGGAGGTAGGATATTCATACTACTAATTTTTTTTATTACTACTCTAATTATCATTGGATTACAGGAAAAGTTGAATGAAGAGAGAGAAAAGAAAAATAACTTTTGAATCTAATGGTGATTAGAGTGGTAGTGGAATGATAGTAGAAAAATTTGGTAGTATGAATATTTTATCTCATAGTTTAGTTATACAATTTGGATTAAATGTTTTAAAAATTAGAATAAAAAACAGTTTAAATTTGTTATGTTGGAGATAATTTTATTTCCTACACATACATTAAAAGTGTGTGGGGCCCATGTAGGACCCTATGAAGAGAAGAGAAAAAAAGATAACATGAATCTCACACACTTTTATATGTGTAATTGGAGAAAACTTTTGTTGCAAACTGCTTAAGTACATCCATACTAAAAGGAGAAAAAATTTGGGACTAAAAAGGATTTACACAAAAAAGTATGAGTTAAAATAGAAATTTTTTTTCTCTTTTTTGTAAAAAAGAGTACTGAATTCGGTACTCCCATAGTACTAAAGAAATTTTCATATAGAAGATAAAATTATCTCCTATAACGTGATATTAATCCCCTAAAAAATATATCTAATCCAATAAAAATGAATTGTTTACTTTTTTAGTTTTAGGTTTATTTGTTTTTTGATTTTCAATTTAATTTTAACTCTTTATATTAAATGAAATTGATTATGGTCACGCTTAATACAAGCTACTCAACTATCATACTTGTAAAACCGCGACTTGATTGCCTCTTCACGCGCATTTCCTTTAAAATTCAGATTGGAAATGTCAAAATGGTCATGCATCGTATAATATAAATATTTCACATGTAGCAATTAGTGGATAAAAACTTTGGTGCTCCTACTAAAAAGGGAAATTTGTTAGGACTTAATGGAAAATATAAAAAATACGGGAAAATATAAAGAAAAAAATCTGGATTTATCTGAGGGGGAAAAATGAAACAAAAAAAATACAACTTTTTAGTTCTTAGAGTATCTAATTATAAAAGTTGGCTTAGTTGGCATTGGATCAAATTGCCTCTACGTAAATGTCTTGGATTTGTTTCAAACTAGGGGTGTCAATATAAGTTTTGACACGCGG